AGAACTATTTTTTATTTAAATATCGCTGTTCTGAGTATATTAATTTGCTCAGAATGTATGGCAGGAGCGAAATTTGAAACAACGATATCTATTTTAATATCCCGTTGTATTGATTATAAAACCCCTCACCCGATGAACTGATTTCTCCTATATTCGTATATACCTTCAGATCTGAAAAGTGATACATGGGGGAAAAGTTTTGGGAGAATTAACCAATACATTCGTTTTGCCCAAACGCAATGGACTTTTATAAAGCCGCCTGGCTTGTTATGCATTAATCGTTGCGTTAACGTTAAGAAAGTAAAATATCCCATACAGTAAGTAGTGCATCGATATTCTAGACGATTTTAGATCACACTTTTGCTCGGACTTTTTCAACCCTTCATTGCTTCGCTGCCAAGAAGAATGCGCTGTCGACGGATGCCACTGGTCACAGGCACTAACTTTAGTGCCCAAATGGATACTGTACGACCTCCAATTTAGTAGTACTAGTTAGAGACGTTGCCCTATCTGTCGTCGCTAAGAAGAGCACAATACGCTTGGCCGTTCTAAGCGAGAAATATGAATAGGAGTAAACGTTATGTGTCCCTTACATATCAACATCACGTCGAACAAATGCCAAGTCAATAAAGGGTGATTGATTATAAGCAATCAAATTAGTGTGTACAACTTGATTGGTCAAAATATATTTCGCCGAAAGCCCACGAATTTCGATCACAATACAATATGTAAATAAATACCCGCAGTCATTTGATTGAATTAACACGATATTGCTGCAAAGTTGGTTGGCCTCAAATCTCTCGACGTGAACGCGTGGCCAAGCACCGGTATGTGGGTGGCATAGAAATAAATATACACATTCGCAGCAAGGAGTGCGTGCATACATATTTCAAGATAGATCTCGTCCACATCAGTCTATAACAACGCCTTGTTCGTACCAGCCGCCAAATGATCGAGATATGTGCTAACTCTAAGTTACTCTACGGATTATTGATGAGGTAAAATCGGAGTTATGGAGAGTATTATGATAGAACTTGCGATTGCAAATCTGTCTAACATGCCTTCCCATATTTTCAGTCATTAATATACTTTACAGTTAACGTTAGTAAAATTATTGCGACGATAGAACTAACTAGACGACGAATAAATCCATTGGCACGTCAATACGTCCGGATAATCCGGATAATTATCAACACTCGAACCCAAGCGGTAAACGCTTTCCTCAGGGTGTTCATAGGAGGAGAGGTACATATATTATTAATATATATACTATTAATAGTAATATATATCATGTACTCGGACGAACCCACCCTTTTAGTATACGTTCGCACAGCAGGGTATTGCTATTGTCCAGGTCAAAATAGCACTCTCCTTTTCCATCAGCTACTTCGTTTTCAATGAAACCTGTGAAAGTCGATAGTCTAGCAACACATTAACGACCCACCTAGTCATACCAACACTACCAACACTATGCAAACCCCCCCTTCTGTAAGTACTATATCTATCTATTTGTTGTCGACTGTTTACAGCTATAACTTCAATCCTGGGGATTATGAAGAAACGCTTCCAAGGCGGCGACGACCTGGGCTGCACTAGGTCGCTCCGACGCGTGAAATTCCAAACATTGTCGGGCTAATGCTAATAAGGTTGGAGGCATGTTGTGCGTGAACGACGGCTGGAGCTGGCCTTGGCTCACCTACAGGAAAACCCCATCAGACTACACACGAACTTCTAGTACATACACTAGTACATACTAGAAAAAACCCACACAATGAATACCCACCAGAATGGCGATGCGAGCGTTGGAAAAGCCTTCGCAATTCGTCGACGTTTCCGTCGCATACGGCGTTCCCAACGTGTCCATTTCCGAAAGAAACGCGCCAAAGCTGTATATATCGGCCTTGGTCGTGTACCGGTCCCCGGTCAACACCTATTGAAAAAACACGTTCGAAACACGTTCGAAACAGCCACAGGGTTCCAATCCATTGTCGTATTCATTCACAGTAGAAGTAGTACCTCTGGGGCAATCCAAGCGATCGTGCCAACATTCGCCGTCATGGTTTCATCCAGTTTGGACACTCTGGAGATGCCAAAATCACTCAATTTCGCTTCAAACGATGCACTCAGCAGCACATTTTTGGCTTTTAAATCGCGGTGAATGATGGACAGATCGTGTAAATAGCTCACGGCGCGGCCAACGTCGAGGGCGACGCTGGTTTTCGTGGTCATCTCGTCCGCGGCTTCGTTGGGGCTGGCCGCGCGCCGCCAGTGAAATCGTCTGTTCTGAACGCGTTCGAAACGGCGTTCGGATTGAAGCAGTTCATGAACGTCACCTCGGGGCATCAAGTCGGACAAAACGGCCAAGTCGACGAGGGTAGACCACGCGATGCCCACAAACGGGACGATGTTCTGGTGGTTGAGGCGCGCACAGAGGCGGATTTCCCGCATGAATTCCTAATAATAATAGTGTCGATTCGGGGGAAAAGAGGAAATATATATATATGTATTGGGTACCTACCGCCGTCGCATCGAGATCTTTGGCTTTGGACGGTAACAATTGCTTCATCGCCACATCTCGACCATATACTTTTGCGCGAAACACGATGCCAAAGCTATACATACAATATAATAGATCATGTGAAATAATAGTATAATTATCGAATATAGTGAAGGTTAACTCTATAGAGTCCTTTCACATAACCAAAGTCGTCCACTATTTCTTTCTTGAGACCAGATACATAAATAAATATACATGTCAAACACAACATGTTTTGACCAAGTTAACATATATAAAAAGATACAAAAATATGTATTCTGTACATGAATTTAAAAAATTAAAAAAGAAATCAGATGTTATAATTCTTTTTATATATGTTGTGTTTGACACATACAGTATATAAAAAAAGAATAATAAAATCTGATTTTTAAAAAATATATATATATGTTGTGTTTGACACATACAGTATATAAAAAAAAGAATTATAAAACGATTATATATATATATATATATATATATAAATGTCATTTTTCTACATACCCTCCAGTAGCAAGTTTGGTCACGTCGGTGATGCTTTGCTTGGGAATTCGATATTTCGCGACCTCAGGGTCAAATCGAATGTCTTGAAGTGGAAGGGTCGTCAGAGATCGTTCCTTTTCGCCTTCAGCATGCAACCAAGGCGCGCCTGCCGCCGCCGCCGCCAGGGTAGTGGACGAGTCGGGCTGGTATCTGGACAGATCCGTCCCGGAGGCCGCGTCCAGTCGGCACATCCCTCCTTGTTGTCGAGAGGGCTTTTGTCGTCTGCGATACAGTACATAGCCAAGCGCAGCGACGACGCACACTGCTGCGGCCACACCCAGGATCACTGGAACCAAGGTTGAAGTGCTCGGGTGGTCGGAGGACAGTTCGTAGGTTGGGAAAGATAGCCCCGCGGCGGGAAACTGCTTTATGCAGTAATCGAATTGCGCTCCGAGGTTGTTGTGAAACGTGGCTACGTAGGCATCTGCGGACGAGGCTTGCACTTGGCACGATGCTTGGAAGGAAGCATATTGAGGAAACATATGCTGGCACGCGGCGCATGACGACACGACCAGAGTCTGGTTGGCCTCGCTGCATGCGATGTGCGAGGACTGGTACGCCTCTAGGTCGCTAAGGCACGCGTCCTAACGTAATGCGACCGTCAAACACGAAGATGATGACGAGAAAGGTGCACCGTGCAGTACGACAGCGGCAAGCACGACAACTCGATCTCGCACCCGCATGCGCGACGAGCGGCTGCTGCCTTGATGGCGTCTGCGCAGGATGGCACAGCACACCATTCTCGACCGCTCGAGTATGGTGTCGACGACTTGTTGCGGCAGATTTCGTACTGGGATTGATACGTTTGGTTCAACGCGGTACACTGGGCAGTGTCGGCGGCGGCGGCCACGGCCACCATTCTCCACAGCACAAGGAAGAAGAGCGGCACCTCATATACATAGGACGTAGCAGGCATGGCGAAGTGCTCGTACCGTGAACGCCAGTGCTAGTAGATACCTTTGCAGGTGATCGGGTAGTAGCTATGTTGCCCTCTGGTAAAACCCATTGTACCCAATCGGATGCCAGTATTCTGTTTTAACGCATTTGATTGGCTATAAATGTGACCGATAGAACCTCCGCACCTTTAACAGCATGGCACAAGAAGACTCGGGTTAAGCTCATGGTGCCAGCGCAATAAGACACAAGCATCGTTTTCTTAACTGCATTGAAGGGCTGTGGATTCAGTACTGACGATAACGTTAACGCTAGCGCAGTTAGTATCAATGAATTCCTGTGCGGAAAACTGACGTACTGGTGACATGTGTTAGAGATAGCTCCAACTACAGTATGTAACAATAAACGTCAAGTGACCCAGATTATGTTTTGGGAAACAGTGCATTTTGATTGGTTAATCGACTTCGTCCAATCAGTGACCAGGTTGGTCACGCAGCCTAGCAACGATGAGCGAAGGTGGATCGATGTCGCGGGATGAGTTTGTCAAGGCGCTGGCCGTGGCGCTGGCGGCGAACGACGTCCGGGACGCTCCGACGTCAGGAGAGATGGCACGAACTGCCTACGACGCGCTGCAGTTTGACTTTCCACAGACGTCGCCGAGTGAACTGAAGGCGTTGGCAACCCACCTGCGCAACGATCCGCTGACGTATCCACTCACGTACATGCTACTGCGCAACGTGTTGGAACTAGCCCACGGCACAGATGCCATCAGTAGCTCCGCCGCTACGGTGTTGGCGCAGTGTTTGTTCCTTCCGTTTCAATCGCCCCATCACCTCGACCATTTCCACTGGCCGGTAGGTTCTTGACGTTTTATTCATTCTTCCATCATCCCCCCCCCCTGTGCCGATAGAGACACAACACTGTACACGAGAAGCTTCTCTTCATCTGCTACCGCACGACGTACGCGCCGCTGTCGTCGTTGTCGCTGGACGAATGGAACCATCTGCAATGCACCGACCTCTGCTGCTCCATCGCGGCAACGCTCCTCCATTATCCCAAGGTAAGTGCAACATATCCGTGTGGTGTAAACTTATACATGTAGATCGATCCCACGGCTGTCCTACTTCAAATGGAATGGATGCGCTACATGTACTTGCTACGGGACCGCATATTGCAATACCCCGTGGCCTGCGCCAGCCTTCTCCACAAAATTCTACTCTTCTTCCATGCTCCTAATAACGAGCAAGCCATTGACGCGAGCGGCGCATCCACTGCGCTACTTCGTCTGTTGCTCGATATTGCCTCTTCCAACGTACGAACTACACTCTTAGTTACTATATATCACACTCTGATAACTACACTCTGATTTACTATATATCACGTTGTATTTCTTGACCAGGAGCTCAAACAAGCTGCCATGGCCAAGTCCTCCATCATTAGCTTTCTGCGATCTGCAATGCCAAAGGTACGAAGACACTGTGATATATATATATATATATTGTGTATTCGCTATAAACGTTCCAAACGATTCGCGTGGTTTGTATATCTTGCATGGAGATCTGATTGGTTGAATATATACTGGCCATTTTTGAAAGAGCCAATCAAATCCACTCAAACAATTGGATTCGCCAATAGCGTCGATGTTCGTGCTTCGATTCGGGCTCGGAATAATTTGTTCGCAACTCGTCGATATATATATATTATACTCCGTCGACGTTTTGTCGTCGTCCTACACAATCATATTCCAAGCCACCATGGAATTAGTGTAGGACAAGAAATAGTGTGTATCACAGGAAGAATCACATGTACACGTAGCTGGCGAGTCAAGGCATGGCGGCGGTGGCATCATCTTGCGCTCTAGACGACGTGGAAGTGCATGCGCAGCTGTGGACATGGGCCGTCTTAGAAGACCCGTTGGGGGTGGTACCCCTGCTAGAAGACCGCGGGGTGCTGCGGGCGTTCGCTGGGTTTGTCATGGCCACCACCCGCGATTCCCCCCACGGAGCCCTCAAGCATGCTGTTCGGCTGCTTGTATTGAGCATGCTGTTCCGGCCGTCCTTTGCAGCTTATGTCCACGGCATTCCGAGCATGGCGGAGCTGTGCCCATGGCTTACCACGTCATCGTACTCGGCCGAGTGCACGCTCTGGTCCATGGCTTACCCGACCACGGCCAAGTCGTTTTTCACTGCGTTTCTAGCGCTGTTTCCAGTCGAATGCGTCGATGGGATAGCGGCCATCACTGCCGTACGTTTGATCTCTTTATGGATCTTCTGACCATGTTTGGATGATGCTAGTAGTGATGTGAATTTGCTATATGGATAGTTAGCATTTGACATCCATTTGATATCTTATTTAATCTTTCTTGTATACACTAACTATACAACGACGAGTATAGAAATGGTTTTGCCCAATGCAGAGGGGTCAAACGTTTGGATTGGCAGAAATTTGACATGACTACGTGATTTGATTGGCTCAGGCGGTTCTTGAATCGATTCTCCTAACACATTCGAGAGCTCTCGATTTGACAATACTTCCAAAAGATTCGCGTAAATTGAATCACGGTGGAGTTCTGATTGGTTGAATATACTTGTCCTTTCTGCCAATCAAATCCACTAAAAAACGGGATGAGCCAATCGCGTAACGAGTCGACAGGGTCTGGAAATGTATATACCAAATCCACCACAAAATATTGTTTGGATTGTTGTTTTATATATTGTAATTTGTGTGGTGGTTGAATCTAGTAATTGTTGAACCTGTGAAATCAAATAGAAAACCGAGTTTCAGAGGGATTTTTTTGGGAGATAATTCCCTGTTCTTTTTAGCCAATCATAGTGCGTCTGAAATTGACAGAATATTCTTACGTGGGTAGATGCACGAAGCCGTGTTTGTGTTGGAAGTACTCGTCAAGATGCGATCCCAGTATAGTTGGATAGCGTGGCCGCATAAATCCAACCTCTTGACGACGTTGCAAACTCTGTTGCCGACACTCAACTCGTTGTTTCAGTGTCCCCCCAAGCAAGATGTAACAGCAGACGACGACGACAATAGCAGCAGATCCATCACGACGTCGTCGCGCCAATCGATCCAGTTGGTGCATCGCATGCGAGTGGCCATCAAGCAACTGGCTGCCACCATAGCCCACTCGCACGGAGACGGCGCCAAGTTGGACTAAATAACTCGATAAGACAGCCCTTTGTTTGTGATTTTGCCCGACTAGATGATTGTGGTAGGCAGTTCAAACAACGCAATAAACTCGACCGCCGCCTCGAGCATGGTCGAGTAGTACCCGACCTCGCCCATCGACACGGACGAGATCATGGTCTCACTCACAAGGCGCCGCGTGAGCAGCACCTGCCGCAGCCGACTCTGGCACACGACGTAGATGAAGATGGGCAAAAAGTCGTCGGCGGCCAACTGATGCGCGACGTCGTGCTCCATCGCGTGGAGTGTGTAGATGCTCTTGGCTGCTTCGATCAGCGCCTTGCCTTTTTCAAACGGCAGAGAATACTTGTCCATTTGGTTGAGCTGGACAATCGCTGCCTTCCACTTGGATGGGGATCTACAAATATATATATATGGTGAAACACGGCCCTAGAGTGGACTACTACTACTGTAGAAGTTGTTATAATATACAGTATTAATAGTACATGTGACCAGGTTGAATGTCAAAGAACGCTTGGCTTTGACGAGATAACCACCGCCTCTTCGTTTCAAACAATCGCGCTACGTCTTCGCCCGTGGACACGAGGAGTAAATTGTACAGCACGTCCTACACACATTCGTAATATATTTAAATACTATTGTAGTAGTAGTAATTCCTATGACGAAGAATATGATATATATATTATATTCACGACACATGATATTGGGAAGACGCTTGAACTCGACAAGGACTGGTGGTGGTCGTACTTGCAATGGGATAAACGTCAACTGCTCAATGTGAATCTACAAGTCCATGGTTAGCCATATCACTGTCAAATGAAATATATAATATATATATTGTATTGATAAATATATATATATATACCAACGCTGTGTCCCGTGCGTCAGCATATGTGTGTTCAATCTCGGATTCTTGTTTCATTTGAACCATGTATTCCCGATACCGTTCGAGAACCTACACCATATCGGTTTACATCTGAATATTAAATATGTATATGTATATCATACATACATTCGTACATATATATATATATATATATATATTACCTTGGCCAAGATGCGTTCGATAAACATCCGAAACGATTTGATGGCAGACAATACTTTGACTGGGACGCATTCGTGTTTGGCTAGCTTGTCGTAGTGGAGCAAAAACGTTGCAATGAAATTTCTCTACTCATGCCAAAACAATCAAATATATAAATATATATATATATATCTTATGAAACGACGTACAATATTCTCCGAGTGGGCTTTCACAATGCGATCGCAAATGACGTTTGTGTGTCCAGATGGCGGCGCCACCCGCGTCAACGACCGTCGTTTCTACGAAGTGTCACTCATATACAATACAGTATATATCGAATAGACAACCCCGAAACCCCCACAATTCAACAATTGAAAGGGGCTCGTGACTGATATTAACTGGTGTACGTACATATTGTTGTGTTTATATTCTAAACTGGAGAATGAACATCGACACAACCAAATATAACGTACAGAAGAATCATCGGCCGAAGGATATTTAGCCAATCAGATTGCAGGAAACCATCATCCACGTCAAATTAGTATGAAACTTCAATTAGTGTGATATACCGACACCTTTTTACATACAACTATTCAGTACAACATCGAACTAATCGATCGATAGATTTGGCAAAGAATCAGCACAAAAGTAGTCCATATCTTGGGTAAATGGACAATTACCTGTACATTCTGCTTGAGCTCCGAGCTGCGCGTCTCCTGGTACGACTCTCGGCATAAAATCGCCTCTTCGATGGCAAAGATCCAATCTTCCCGCTCGTCCAACGACGCCGCTTGCAGCACGAGCGAGTAGTCTCCGCCGCTGGTTTCAACAGCAAACGTGTAGTCTCGTCCAGTCAAGTGAATGTCCACGTAGTGCACCTTGAAAAATCAAAGAAATTAGTCTATTTGGGTTCAAATACATATACACTCTATAGATTGTATATATATATATAGATACGGTCGTGTCTTTGTGAAACAAGAGCACTTCGCCCTTGAGTTTGTGTGTTTTGGACTTGGGGGTTGTCGCGTCCACGTCGTCGGTAAAATATTGCAGCACCTACAACCATAATAATCATAGGATTCAAACAAGAAAAAAATATAAAAATATTATTCAACAAGAATGAAACATATTATGATGATTCAAACAAATAAATACACATACGTACGGAGCCGTCCAAGACAAAGAACCGCCGCTTCCAGTTCTTTCGCACGTGGCCAAGCTTGTATAGCCACCCAGTCTTTCGATCCAAATTCGAGTCATCTGGACATCAAGTGGTATTATGATGGTATATTCGATGTCTATTGTAAGCTCAACTGTCAAATCGAAACAAAGGGCGTGTATGATACAACGACAGTAGTAGAACAGACCATACAAATCCAGCATATCATATGCGTTGTTAGAACATACAATGAGGATTATACAATGCTGCATAGACACAACATCAAAGGAGCATCGAAATGAACAAATATTACATCTATTATATTTGTCACATCGTCCCAATATACGTGAAATGAACATATATTATATTTGTTCATTTCACGTATATTGTTCCCATGATGATGTATCTATACAGTATTGTATAATATACTATGTTCATTTGACGTACAATATAAATATAACGGTATAATATACTATGTTCATTTGACGTACAGTACAATATAAATATAACGGTATAATATACTATTGTTCATTTGACGTATAATATAAATATAACGGTATAATATACTATGTTCATTTGACGTATAATATTAATGTAACGGTATAATATACTATGTTCATTTGACGTATAATATAAATATAACGGTATAATATACTATGTTCATTTGACGTACAATATACATATAACGGTATATTGTACGACAAATGAACAAATATAATAAAATGTTCTATGAATTTTACACGTCAAATGAACAAATCTAATATAACTTCATATGAATAGTATACGTCAAATGAGCAAAAACAATATACCGTTATATGTATGTACAGTACATGAATCGTGAAATGATCGAATATATATAAAGTAAAGAGATACTATCGTTTGTAGTCGTAGCTAGAGATATGGTCATACCGACGCCGACATTGGCATGCGCATGCATTGACTTGCGGCGCCCGGTGGGCACGAGTTCCCGCCGCCGCATCCACGTCCGTCGCCGCGTAAAAGTCGTGGGGCGGTGGGCTGGCGAGCATGTGGAGGGGTTATGCCTCAAGTGATGGAAACTGCTCGCGTATTGCCATCCTAAGTAGTCATTAGAAAATGGAAAAGACCAACTCGAGTAGATGCACCGTCTTTGTCGGTGACATCTGCCGCGATATGAATCTGCCACGGAGACGTCCATTCCCAGGATCCTGTCGGGGTGGACTTTGGCAGTGCGATGGTAGGGAAGATCGGGTAATGAGAGGAATACGTGGCGTTCGTGTATCGTTTCGGGTCCATGGGAAGCAGGCATCCCTTGGCACCTACACGAGTCAGGATGGTGATGGACTTGATGAAGTCGACAAGAGGAGGGAACAGATCGAGGGGAAGGACGAACCCCAACCGAGCAAGATCTGGTAGCGTTCGTGCTCGTAAACGATTTCATCTTCCATCGTTCTTTCACTCGATTCTTCACGCACACTGTCGGGGGACGGAATCGCAGAGGTTGAACATGGCTTGTCGACGTACGAGTCCACACTGACACTGCGATGAAGGGATGGCGACGAAGATTGCAGCGATGGATCGGAATGCGATTGCGCCACTACTTGAAGCCAGAACGTCGAGTTCCGCGCACTCACCATGTTGTTTGCACTCATGGTGTGCCGAAGGTCACGGCCTTCAAGTGACAGTTCCTTCGCCACGATGGTAGGTGGCGGTTCGTTGCCCGTTCCCACGTCCACAGACACATTCATAACAACCTCATCCATTGAGACGTTCATCAGCGTTTCCACGTCGTCTCCATGCGCCGTCGGTCTGTCCATCCGTCCGTTGTCGCCCTTTCCCTGGGGGCGGCGGCGGCGTCACCTTTTTAATCGGATGGATGAAATACTGCCACGTGATTGGTGGATTGGGTATCCAGCGATATGATTGGTTGATTTCACATTGAAAGATCCCCACCGAGGAATTCCATCATACTGATGCAACCAAGCGTTTGCGCACAATCGAGCGGATGGCGGAGGGCCACAAGCATGTTCTGTGCAGAATCGCATCTAAGATGCTCCCCATTACGAACACTGGATGGATGCGATACATGTATACGAAGTGTCACCTTACGACATCCTTTGTGGATGCCACATGACGGCATCGGCAGCCACCTCACCATCATGTACGCAATCACATCTCGCGATCCATCCACGGCGCCATCCCTTCTCGACCCATCAGTATAGATAGATCCAACCATCAACGACATAAAACTGATATAAAACTCGTCCGGCAATATATGCCCTTTATATGGGGCTATGTATGTTGTACCGTTTCTATGGGATGATCGATTAATCATTCATGTCTTGGTTTGGACCTGGTCACTAACTACTGTATGTATGTAGTAAGTACATCGTCACCATTGCCTGGACTATATGTACCTACCATGCATGTACATATCTATCCAAATGCAGTCTCATCCATCAAGTCCTTGTGATGTCTTCGTCGATACGTGCAGCGTACTAGCACTCCACACACCCACCTCACCGTCCACGTCATCGCGCTTCGTGGTCGACGACGTCACGTACACCTACCTACCTACCTATCTCTCTGCTTTGGGTCGTCTTCATATCGGTATCTGTCGCTTCGACTTGCTTGTCTTGTTCATGCATGCGGGGTCACATCCCTCGTCCATGTCCGTCAAGGAGATAGCAACATGTCCTTTCCCATCCTCGCGCGCAATACTATCGAATTCGAATCCTGGGGAAACTTCCTCGTTGACGCAGACACGTGGGACAATGATGGTTTATCCCAGAAACACGAGAAATTCCCACATGTCCATGTAATCCGACCTCGTTCTCGCCTTATAGTGTACTATCGACCGCACAACACACAGGAGAGCTTTGCTACAAGAAGGTCCATGAAGCGCTTCTCAGGAGACGCAGCGTCATGCCATCAGCCGCGTGAAATGGCATCGCATAGGCGAGGGTTCGTGGGGGTCTACAGTTGGGATAAAGGAATGTCCCAACGAAATGTTGGTCATTGTCCCACTTTCACACAAAGACAAGATCTGGGGGGTTGGGTCATTTCTCAACTGTCGGCTTTCCCCGCACATCGTCCAGCATCATGACCGCTTCTTCCGCTACCGCTCTGAATGTCGTCGTCTCTGGCGCCGCTGGCCAAGTGGCTTATGCGTTCCTTCCCTTGCGTATGTATGCTGCTCTTCATCTCCTTGTGCAAGTTTTGTTCTCATGAGGGATGTGTAGTCTGCAGCGGCCGCGTCCTCGGCCCAAACCAACGCATCCACTTGCGTCTGTTGGATATTCCACAATCTCTCGAAGTCTTGGGCGGTGTCGTGATGGAACTCAACGACTGCGCCTTCCACCTCGTCGACGGTACATCATCATCTCGGTAGTCGCATCGGAGCTTTAACGGTATATCTTGTGTAGACATTGTGCCCACGACGGACCTTGAAACTGCTTTCGAAAACGCCGACATTGCGATTCTCCTTGGTGGATTTCCTCGCAAGCAAGGCATGGAACGGTACACCATCATCCCTTCCCCCTACATGTGCATAAACAAGCATGACTGATTCCATCCCATAATTGTAGCAAGGAATTGATTTCAAAGAACGGTTCCATCTTCAAGGCGCAAGGCGAAGCCCTCGAACTGTACGCCCGCCGATCGGTCAAGGTCTTGGTGGTGGCCAACCCGGCCAACACCAACTGTTTGATCGCAATGAAGCATGCCCCGAGCATCCCCACGGAGAACTTTTCTGCGTTGGTATGGTTGAATCTCCACTTCTTCACAATGTTTTCATCATGACGACGGTAGACTCGTCTGGACCACGAACGCATGCGCTCGCTCTTGGTCAAGAAGATTCAATCGTACCCGTATGTGACTACTATATATATATATATCTGAATGGGCATGGTTGTATCTAATGGATTTTCCCTAGAGAACACAAGCACGTGTCGTCCAAGGACGTGAGGAACTGTGTGATTTGGGGCAATCATTCCAACACCCAAGTACCGGATGCCGCGCACGTGGTCATTCAATCGGCGGACGGGTCGGTGGCGCCGCTGGCCGACTTACTGCAAGACTCGGACTGGATCGACTCGTCGTTGCGGCCGTTGGTATGTTTGTGTGTTTATGAGACTATTGTGTGAAAAAGAATCGAAAACCAGTGGAGTTTTTTATATTGAAATCCAATGGCTATTGTGTGAAATGAACCCTTTTTTTATCATGACCACGGGTGATTTTAGGTGCAAAACCGAGGTGCGGCCATCATAAAAGCACGCAAGTTGTCGAGTGCGATGTCGGTGGGCGCGGCCATTGCCGGCCACATGAACGACTGGCTGTTTGGGTCGTCGGAATTGGTGTCGATGGCAATCTTGTCGACCGGGAACAAGTACGATCCATCCTCTACTACTAGTAGTACTAGTGACGAGTACATTGTAGGTATGGCGTCCCTGACGACTTGATCTATTCCTTCCCAGTCAAGTGCCTGGGCCATGGCGAATATCAAGTCGCAAATGTGGCCGTGTCGCCCGCGATTGCTAAGTTGATGCAAGTGTCAACGGACGAGCTCCAAGGCGAAAAGGTTGAAGCGTTTTCTCAAGTGGACAACAGCCACGTTTAAACGTTGGATTTATCCGTACTAGTAGTACTACTAGTGGTGCATTGGAGAATACGTAAATAATATATATTTGATTTGATGGTATTGTCGATTTGATACAAATTTGGGGAGGGGGTGCAACCGATCCACAATCGATCTGATTGGTTGAATTTCATTGAGAAGGTGGTTTTGATTGGTTAATAATTTTGAGCTCATCTGAGGTAGCCAATCAAATCGATTTAAATTCCAACGACAAACCACAATGATATTTCACTCGAAAGCAAAATAGGTGGTTCATATTTTAAATAAATATACTAGTAGTCAAAATAGGAGGATGTACTGTCCGTTTGGGCGTGACGAATGCAAAGAAAATTTCCAGTGAGCCGATTTTGATGCTGTTTTTTACAATAAGCAGATTTCGCAAACGCCAGTTCTATTCTATCCGCAACCTAAAATTTAGAACCCAGATAGGTTGCAACCTTGTGCAGTGCGAATTTCGCAAATCGTCCGCTGCAAACTGGTTTTATCCAGAAATCGTTATCCAAACAAACGTGGTTAGTATTCTTGGCCATCATCATCACACACACTTCCATCGCATACAAAAGGCGAGAATCCTACGCCTACAGTCGGATTGGAGCTTACTAGTTGGATTCTCGCCCAGCACCAATGAAGGTTACCATCCTACCCACTTGCAGGGGTCGAAATAAAATAATGCATAAAACATAAATATTTAGGGGTATTATGCATAATGTATTTTCAAGAATTGGAAAATATATGCATTATGTATTTTGACTCGATTTGACAATGCATAAAAATAATTTGTCACATAATAACATCGTCGATCACATTGCATAGTAGCCAGTCATTAGTACAGCTGTTAGTTCGTAAGGCCGCTGTTGGAAGTTATTAATCATCATTTACACCTTTAAACGCTCGATGATGTCCACGTTTCTCTCCGGCAAGTCAACCGCGCCCAAGTTCTCGCCCGAGCAGTGCAGTAGGTACTTCTTTTCTGCTATCACCGACTCGAACGACGAAACGACGGGGCGATGGCGTTGTACCCTGTGCCAGCGCACGTACACCCAACAAGAAGGCAGGGGTTACACGAATCTACTTGCACACCTCAAGGCAAGTCATAGCAACTACGCCACACTCATGCGCGAAGCACCAGCAGCAGCGCAGTCTACTAACACCAGGCTTTGGGTCAGTGACCGGGTGAAAGGGCGATTCGGCTGGATCTCGTGGATCGTTGAAGAAGGGCTACCGCTTACGTTCTGTGAGAAGCCATCGACTCGGCGGTAAAGTCTTGTACTGATTGTACTTTTGATGAAATTGATAAATCCAATTTTTGTATTGACTATTCCTATATTTTGTATTGTATTGTACGCAAACGTATGGAATACAATTTGTAGTCCTGTGCCGATAATGATTTTGATCATACACATCTCAAACAATATTATTTAGATTTACGAATTTGCCTATAATTTCTCATGTTACCCTTCGCGACAACATTTTACGGCTTACTGAGGTCGTCGAAAAAAAGATCTCAAAAGAAATTCCGGATCGTTTTGGCATTATTTTCGACGGCTGGACACATAACTCCGAGCATTACCTTGCGGTCTTTGCGTCGTACGAAAAGGATGGCGTCCTTGTGCAGCCTCTCCTGTCGCTGGCGCCCATCATCCACGAGCCGGATGACGACCACAGTGCGAAGACGCACTACACTGCAATCAAGTCAGTCTTGGCCATGTTCAAGAAGACCATCACGCAATGTGTCTTCTTGGTGGGTGACAACTGCAGCGTCAACAAAACGTTGGCCAAGCTTATGTCCGTGCCGCTGATTGGCTGCGCCAGCCACCGATTAAATCTTGCGGTCAAAGCGTACACCCAGCAGCATGAGGACGAGCTCGCCAAGATACAACAACTGATGATCAAACTGCGAACCCTGAACCAGGCTTCCAAACTCCTGTAAGTATATTCTATTGTTTAAAATAATTTAATATAACGTATCATATTTCATTTCAATTATATTTTCAATTTCTAAATTATATATTAATTTCGTAGGTTTCGTACAGAACTACGACCAATTCTCCGCCAAGACACTCGTTGGAGTTCAACGTTTGCCATGCTTCAGCGATTTTTCGAGCTTCGAGAACATCTCGACCACGAGGACGACACTATTTTGGAAATTCTACCAACTCTTGGTGAAACGAAGAAGTTGAAATGTCCTCGAAGATTTGAAGAAGGTAGAATCCGTGTCAAAGCGAGTGCAGTCTACCGACGCTACAATTTGGGAGGTTCGAACTCTCTTCGATGCTCTAGTCATTGTCTTCCCCAGCTTTGAGCATTACATTGGTACAAAATATCTTGAGTTGTATATATGAAATAAATATAGTACACTTAGAATATGTTAGGTGGGTCAGCAAATATTGTTGGCAACCCAAATTTTGAAAATGCCGTCACGAAGGTTCAACGTGGTCGCACGCTCACTCGGCCAGAGAAGTTGGTCGTTGCTGCACTGCGAAGCAACAACGGCGCAGACGTTGCCTCGGACGAAGATGCTGGATTTGCCGAAAGAGCGTTGAAACGTGCGCGCCTGGCCGACGAGAATGACACCTATGTCCTCCTTGGAGCTGTCACCCCTACGTCAAACATAGCTGAGCGTCTTTTCAGCGTGGCGCGTGCTTTGATTGGCCTCGACCGTTTTTCACTGCATCCAATCATGATTGAGGCGACCCTCTTCCTTAAGTGCAACCGCAGCTACTGGGATGTATCGACTGTGCACGAAACGCTTGAGTAAAAATATGTGCATTAATGCGCATATATTGCATAATATGCATAATGTATTTCAGGCTTTTGCAACGATTATGCATTATGTATGCACTGAGTAGCTAAAACATACATATAATATGCATATTTTCGACCCCTGCCCACTTGCAGCATCATTGTACAGATAATCTGGTTTCGGGGTTTCGCCCGCGAGGTCGACGAAAGACTTCACGTCATTCTCGTGCTGGGACAATGTAGTGAGGTCCTTCGAGAGTATGTGAGGACACGACGTCCTTCTACCACAAATGACATACTCATGAGACTCTAATGCGATTCACCTCGCCATCCCAGGCTGTCACCATAGATGCATGATCAAACAAAACACAAGCGCATCCGGTTACACTAGAAAACCCACCATTTATGCGGATACAGCAAATGGGAATCCGCTGCAAAATTGGCAAATTTTACAGCGGCTTTAATTATTTATAACAGGTTCAGTTCTATCCTTATCGAATTCGAGAGGATAGGTTGCGGATAAAATAGAACTGACGTTTGCGAAATCCGTCTAATCTCTTGGTCACCAACCATATATTCTGCATGCAGAATCTTGAAGGCCCAACGGAGAAACTCTGCCCTACATTTGCAAGCAACGATTCATGACACAAATTTAATATTTTAGTAATGTAGAATATTTCTATAGTAAGAAGTTTTCAAGCGTTTTAATAAATGGTACCACTCATGTAGTAATGCTATACATTATTTAGCGATTATTTTATTTTAAGACTCAAGTATAGTATATACTTCGAAGTATACTACCGTATACCCCCGCTTCAGTACCTATGATTTCCCCGGTTGGGTCTATACCGGTTAGGAATTCTCGGCCTATGGGGAAGGATTTAGAGTTTTCGTCTGGGCGTGTACATACCTAGTTGTCAATGATTGGTCATTTAAAAGACCAATCACATTTCACAAATAAGCTTGTGGCTTCACAGAATCATGGTGGTGAAAGCAGTTGACGTCGTAGGGGTGGCAAGTGGGGATGGAACAAGATCGTGCACAAGTCACGATATCTGTGGCGACAGACAGCCTTACGGTGGACGACCTTTTGGTTTTCAAGATGGTTGTCGCCGAGGACCCAGCTGGAGACCTCGTCGAGGTTATGAAGGTCTACCGCCTCGTGGCGTGTCACGTAGGATTCCTGCCGGAGCGACTAATGTCAAAGAAATTGCAAATTGAAAGACAAGATTGCCGTCATTGTTGAGGATAATCGGTTGTCTGCAAGCAGCGCGAAACGCAGTCGTTCGGCTCGCAACATGGGAATTGTGAAAGCAATTTTGCTCGACCATATTCAAGAATATCACAGTACGATGTCAGGTTAATTGTTTTAATTATTCTGATGATATCATACTACATACCTCTCCTGTTCCGTAAAGGTGGAGACCATTGTGTTTGGGCAAATTTTTATCTTACTATTTGTATACCCGATTTCACAGAAATGTGTATTTTTATTCAAAAACAAGTGTTTACGACGAGATCGGTCATGACCTGCTGCAGAGCCAAGAGCCAGCACGAGTCGACATTGAAGCAGTCGACACCTTTCAAGGAAGAACATGCACTATGAGTGCCGATGGTGCGCTTGGTGCGGTCTTGGATAAAGCACCTGCTGTTCCTGGCCGGCAGCCAGCACTTCCTCCAGGGCCGCACTATGCCCACCATCAGCAATCGAGGTCCGGGCATTCACCCAACGAGTACTGATGATGCAAACGATACGGCCCAGGAGGAAGCGCCTGCTGGAATCAATGGCCGTCAACTAGCGCTTCCTCGACGGCGGCAACGTTTGCATCATCAATACTCGGTTTGTGCAAGTCCAACCACAATGTTCCGGCCGATCAGGCACTCCACCTGCTCGATCAGACGAGCATCATAACTTGTTGCAGGAGTTAGTTGTTGTGGAGTGCGCCGTGTACATCACGTGCACTTAGAACGGGTAGCAGGGTGCGTTCTGAGCGCGAAAATGGGAAAACGTTCACGCTCGGAATGCAAATGGCCAGGACACAGGCCACCTCACTTGGTCGTGGTCTTGTGTTTTATGTAACTCCTTCTCCAGCAATGCAAATGCAACACTGATGTGTGCTAGCGACATCTAGGCAACGAGACGAATCGTTTGCGCTCGCATTCGACTCGATTGGAGGAGAAATGCCTCATCCACGGGTGTTTGTAGATTTGCTGTCATCAACTTTTGACTTTGACGACCTGTTGTGAAGCGGTTTGAAGCAATAAAATAAATCTAAAAATAGCTGCTTACTCGTCCTTTCATTGGCTACATTTGAGCCAATTTTCAGACAATTCTGTTGAATTTGGCCATAGAATGGCACTTTTGACCAAAAGGTCTCCACCTTTACGGAACAGAGGAAGTATCCATATCCGCATTTTCGCCACGCATTGCAGATCACTTCAGGAGTTACTTCAGCCCCGGATTTCTCGATCCATTGCAACACGATTTCACGACTTGGCGATGGCACGACTTCGTTTCCAACCATGTTGGCAGCGGCACACATTATTCATGCATGTCAGATACGGTCTTTGAACGGTTTGTTCAAAGACCAACGGTTTGTTCATACCAACGTCCAAAGGCAGGTATAACCACCTAATAATAATTACAGTAAGTACAAAACAGTGACATTAGTTAACAAGAATTACAACTTACAATAGTACAAGACAGTGACAATACAACAACAATTACAACACAAATATAAAGCATTACCTGGGAGAATTTCGACTTCAGTTCCCAGCTTGGCAACGATTTCGTAAAGGCGGGTTGCTTGTGGCACTTGTAATCGTCCATCAGCAGGACACTTGAGAGTCCACCACAAGCAAATAGCGCCCACACAGAATCACGCCAAGCTTCTGTTGTTGGGTCGTCCAACCACGCCTTGGTCTGGCACGTGCTAAACATTTTTGCAGGCATGACACGGTTGATCTCGGCATTCACCATGGCTCCTGGAACACCCTTGAAGACGACAAATGGCGGGAGCTCTTTTCATGTTGCCGTCACGACCAAAAACACGGACATCCTTGGGTTGTGGGTTGAGCACACACGAGCTGAGACAGTCTTGGCGCCCTTGGGAGCGATTGCCGTGTGCACATCGGGTTCGAAATGCACGGGCGTTTCTTCCATATTCACAAATCGACTAACGTCCGCCACGGTATCAAACACCGAAAATCTGTCTTGCATGGAGCGCACGAATTCGTCGCGGATTTCTTTCAGATGGTTCGAGAGCTTTTGGCCCTTTCGAGCGGGGCGCCGAATTGAAAGGCCTTGCCGGTTGAGGAACGCGTACACCCAGTGGGACAATCGCTTGGGTAGCGCTTCATGGAACGTTGGGTCCATGCTTAGCGCCTTCATGGTGAGCATGGTGGTGCTCACAACTATGTCGCTTTCGCGCAAAGTGTCATAGTACATCAGGACCAGTGCTTCCACGTCTGGATTCTCGACAGGTGGGCCAAAATTAACTGTCAATCTTTCGGGTCGTTGGGCGGCTGCCAGTTTGAGCTGTGCTATGTTTTTAACCCAACGCGACAGCTGCCCACTCTGAAGGCCGTACTTCTTTGCTGTGTTTGATCAGACTTGCGTGTTCCACAACGATTCATATCTTGTTGTCTAAGCTCATAAATCGCCTTGGACCTGCAATGCGCGCTGGACGTGGTGGCATGACGATCAATTGAGCTGTGAATTTGCATCGAGCGGGACTTTAGGCGGAATTGTCTTGTCCAATAAAATTGTAATAGAGCTGGTGAATTTTGACCAATCAACAAGTATTATTCTATCTTCAAAGTTTTCGTGTTACCGTTTGGAGCTGTACCGGTTTTGATCAGATTTCACCGACATTTTCATAGGTACTGATGCGGGGGGTATACGGTAGTAGTACAAGGGAAGTACTAGTATTTCATCTGTTTCATGATACTGCCACCACTGGAAAATCCATTTTTTTCACGTTACTGCCATCATTTTAGTAGTATGATTGGCTAATGAACAAATCAATACGTTTTATTGGTTATTATTGCATCAAAGGGCTAGGCTGTTGGAGGAAGGTGTTGGCCTCAAAGAGAAGGGGCACAGGGCAGGACACATGCGTGCCAGCACGTGTCAAAACACCTTTGTGTAGGTGGGACAGCTTGACTGGGTTGTCACATCAGCACATGACGCATGACAGCCTGCAAGATAAAAACGACATTACCTAGCGTCTCTCCACTCATGCCATACACCGCCATGGTCGATGCAATCACCGATTTACTTGCCCAGGTGTCGACCGATGGGTGAACGTTTGTTGTCCGTGCACAGCCGCCGAACAGCCCTGACTTGAACGTGCTCGACCTTGGCTTCTTTGCGTCAATTCAGTCTATACAGTACAAGATGGTAAGTCGTACTGGGGATGATGCGTCAATTGAACAGTGGGCACTCTTCCAGATAACCTCCCGGACACTAATTATATTTAAAAAAATTCAATTCCAAAATTCATCCGGATAATACATCCCTGCCTCGACCGCCAAACCACCTTCGACCACACACAATAGAAAGACAAGCAACCAAATCGATTATTTATTAGATTAGTTCAAGCACGGTTTACGAATGGCAATGACAAGTCCCTTGGATACCATTTTCAACTTTCGGAGGAAGAAACCAGGAACGCCTCAAAATTTCGTCTAAGTACCCAGGAGGTGCTTGCGGTGCATCCCGCGCATCGCCTTGAAGTATTGTTTGATTCTCACCTCCCATATACCTTCGATTGACTGTATGTGGGCACCGTTGATGGGGTTGACAAAGTTTTCGGAGTGGTTGACCCAAGCGTGGGTGTAATTCATGCCACGCAGCCGGGGGCTGGTCTCCAGGATGTGGCGCTCATTCAACGACACGTACGAACCAAACTTGTCTAACATGTTTTTATTACCCGGTTTGATATACTTCAATATCAAGTGGGACAAAGTAGCTTCGTATGGTCTTCGAATATCAAAATCCCAAACCACTTCTTCGTCGTGCCAGATCCTGAATGCCGCGGTTGTTGAACTTTTTTTTTCAACGACGTTTCGTCGATTTCGATGATCGACTCAACGCCACCAATCTGACACAAATGATTATCATTAATATTTGGTTGAATAAATTCAATCAACTAGAACGACACTATTACAATATATTCGTATATATGTGTATGAATCAATGTAAGGTAATCCATCTATATCGCGAACGGTTGTCATTATATCCAATCCAATGGCATAATTCTGTAATGAGGCCTTTTCATTGGATATAATTATATTCAGTCAAAGGAACAGGAAACCATCTTGAAGTTCAAAACTATGATCATTTTTATGTTGTAAATACAAATTTCAAATAGCATATTATTATAATGCGTTCAAATTTATTGTAGAATTGAGTTCGTATATAAATTAACAAAAAATGCGTCATGACATCCAGGTATCAATATTCCAAGCATACAAAATTAAGATATCACGATCGTTCGTGAAATATAAAGCCAAAATTGTTTCACCAATTCTTTAACGTTATTTTATAATTTCAAATACATATTGAATATTAGGATATTTTAGGCACTTCTGGGCACTAAAAACTGCAGCTGGACTTATATTTTCCAACGTCAATTAATGCGTTTAGGTTGGAAAGTTTTTTTACGCTTTCCTTAGCTTTTTTTATTCGACGGACTTTTTGTATTGCAATTCTTCAAGCATTTGATATTTTAGGGCACAAAAAGCGTTCGCGATATTGATGGTTTACCTTAGTAAAAATTCAGTGTGGAATAAGACATGAATATTATTAAAATATGAATATATGAAATGAATACTGTATGTATCAAATATGAATATGTATATATATAAATATGAGAGAAATATACATGGTACACGTATATATAATATATATGTACATATATGACATGAATATATATATATATATATATATATATATGAGAAAAATATACATGGTGAATGCATGCATACTGTAGTAGATAAATGTAAATCTATATTCATGTGGAATAAAGAAATACATGTATATGCATATTCACGAGGAAGAAATAAATACACGTATATATGTATTCATGGGGAAGAAATAAATACGTGTATATGCATGCATATACATGGTGAATTTATAAATACGTGGACTACAGTAGTACGTGCATATACATGTGGTCAAATTACATACATGCATTTGCATATACACGGCGAATAAATGAATAGATGTATTTACATACAAAAAAATACACAAAGTATGAATGAATAGATAATAGATGAATTCAGTTAAGAACCTTCATTTAGCACGCCAGCATTTCGACTGAGCAAACCTCGCAGCAAAAGTTAAACCAGTCGCCGGCCGAGGTTGGCGACACTTCTTGCTATTTCGTCACCACAGACACTGACTTGCGAGATGCCCAGTCAAACATTTGCGAGATGCCCAGTCAAACATCAGGCATGCCGCGTTCGTCGTTGGCAACTTTGACTTGGCAAATAATGAGTCCGCCTTGATGCTTCGCTGGACATCGCCGCAAGAAGACCTGCGGCAGCGCCAACTCTTCGTTGGGACGGACATGGTCATGGCGCCGTCGCACTTTGGGCAGAGCATCACGTCCTTGAGCAGGCCAACTTTTAAGAACCACGTAACGGTGACGTCTTCATCGCACGTCACCCTAATGACCTCTTTGTACGAGAAGTCGTGAAGGTCATGCAGGTCGTACTGAGTGTCCATTGTGGTACCTGAAAGTGCGGACTGGTTGATGAATTCGACAATAACGGGGGATAAGAAGTCATTTGTATTCATTCGTTATCCGGTCGTTTCTAGCGCCCAAATCGGGGCCAATACTGGAGTTGATCTGGTTGCTTGTCATTCTTTTGTGCGTGGTCGAAGATGGTTTGGCGGTCGAGGCAAGGATGGTTTTATCAGGATGAATTTTTGGAATTGAAAAAGATTAATATAATTAGTGACCTGGGGGTTATCTGGAAGAGTGCCAAACAGTGAGGTGTTGCATTGTCAAGTTACAGCACGATACGCTTGGAAAGTTTGTCTTAATAGATGACACGACCTTGTTCAGCACGAAGTCGCGGTACGTAGCAGCGTGAACCTTGATGAGGTCGTGACCATCGTGCCTGCAGGTCGATTGCGTGAAGTACGGGATGCTGTGACTTGGGAGACATACGGCCACATGCCTATCTTGCCATCAAAATCGACGTCATCGCGCGGACGTTCAACATCGGCAAGGAACATGACTTTGGGTATGAAACGCTTTGACTTGCATGCACGTCTCTTCACGACCTCGTTACGGACAAGGTACACCTTGCGGCCATCGTTGTCCACATTGAACCAATTCTCGTTCACGTGGACGACATCCCACATGTCCAAAAATTGGCATTCTTGTACACTACAAGAATAGTCTGCATGGCATCGTCTTTGGCGACGTCACTTGGGTTCGCATCGACGTTGGCTTCTCTGAGGTTTGATACGCGTCGACATTCGCTTGGGCCAGTCAGCACGACGAGAACTCAACAGAGGGCTAGGCAGTCGTGTTTGTTTGCGTCCGTCAACAGCGACTTGAGGCACGGCGAGTGACGCTTTATGATGCCATTTTTTATGGGACGGCTGATCGTACTGATAGATATGCCTGTTGCTTCCTTGATGTCCCTCATCCTGCTGCGTTCTATGTGCGGCACTTCTTGAACGATTGCCGTTATGTCCTCGGCTATGCTGTGTGGCTTGGGTCAAACGGGACCTTGGTGCGTTGACTTGGTGATACCTTGCTTGTCCACAGGGTGCGTACGGTGGAGCGGTGGAGTTCAAGCGCAACGAGATCTCCTTAATAGTGCCACGTGGTAGCTTGCCCAAGTTGTCTTAAAGAGCGGTGGCGACGTCACGCTTCATGGCTTCAGTCAATTCTCGGTTCGTGTGCGGGAATTTGCTCATGGCGGGAGATTTGAATGTAGGGCACAGGTCCCTAATTTTTATTAATTTTAATAATAGTTATTTGATTAAATCTGGTGGCGCTGAGTCGTCTTCGATTTTGACCACCAAAATCTCGTTTTGGTATTTCGTTGCCAATGGATGCTATTTCTAGTTTTTGATTATCTTTTCTTCGTGATATTGAGCATTAAATTTGGACAATAAATGAATTTTTGGGGTCGCTGGAAGTCCTTTTGGTGGCAATATTATGAAACAGTGGAATACATGTTACTACTCTGGTCCGAAATAGTTGCAGGGTACGACTTCCGATTGGCGGCATTTTTCTAAATGTCGCTCAATTCGCATGGCGATTGGTGCACAAGAAAGCGCAAGATCTCAGCTTTGATTGGGTAGTTTGGGAGTGATCTAAAGCTTTTTGGTTCATGAGATACTGGGCGGGAAAAAT